AAATATACAGAGGGGTATGAGAGAAGAACTGGCAGAGTCCTTGGTGCTCTCTGAGCTTGGTGGTTTTCTTGCAGACGTTTCATGACCCAACTAGGTAACATCATCAATGGTAGAAGGGAGTGGGGTTTTCAGAGGAGGAGGAGGAGGAGGAGGAGGAGGAGGAGGAGGAGGAGGACGACAACTGTGGGGGTCCTTGGTGCTCTCTGAGCTTGGTGGTTGTCTTGCAGACGTTTCATTACCCAACTAGGTTATATCATCAGTGCTAGAAGGGAGGGGGGCTTCCTCTTTTATTATTCTAGTGACTTGTTATTGTTAATGGGAGACGTCTGGGGATCAGGGTGTGTCTGACTTCATACAATAGCTAGAAAAATATGAAAGCCCATCTCATCACTTGGGCCCTTAAAGAACTTTCAGAAACCCCTAAAGAAAACTTCAAGAAGGAGAGACTCTCGCATGATGGGTAGCAAATATTTGGGGAAACAGTTGAATTACACTCCAGGGGCCCGCACTGCAGACCACGGAGCTGTACGTTTATGGTACACAATGAGTGCTGGTACCACAAGCCAACAAAAGGAGGTGAATAAAGCCTAGCTCAGGGGTAGGCAACCTTGGCTCTTTTATGACTGGTGGACTTCAACTCCCAGAATTCCTGAGCCAGCATGGCTCAGCTTGGAAACCTCTCCCTTTCCCCTCAGCATGGCTGGCTCAGGAATTCTGGGAGTTGAAGTCCATGAGTCATAAAAGAGCCAAGGTTGCCTACCGCTGGCCTAGCTTGTTCCAAATTTCAGTATTGATTGTTGCCGTTAATAACCACATTTATAATATTTATTTTATTAATTTTTATTTATTAATTTAATTTATACCCCGCCCTTCTCCTCATGGGACTCAGGGCGGACTCAGGGAGTATAATAATACTCCGCCGTTATGCAACAGACTCCAAAGGTTTACATGCGTTAGCTCCATCATTTGTTAGGGGGATCAATATTGTCCGTTGCATATCAAGCAAGAAGAAATAGGAAGAAAATTAATATTCGGCAGATGGTTGCAGGCCTATGTCCACCTAATGCAGGGATTCCCCAGTCCCCTCGGCCATTTCCTCAATTTCTCTGCACATCTGGGGAAAAGTTGCAGCCCTTTCGGCGGTTGCATTAATGAGCAGCTTCTTAAAGCAGCAGCATCTTCTTCATGCTCTTGAAGAAAGCTAAAGAAAGCTTTTTTTAAAAAAAGGACATAGCTATTTTAATGAGTACAATAGAAGCACTGGGCTCTTGAAACACTTCCTCCAAGTCCTTTTTAAATAGTAACGAGCTCTAATATCCACTCTCGCACACCTTTCAGGAATCTACATATAATAATAATAACAACAACAACAACAACAACTGGAGCACCACTTGAACACCATTGGCATTGACAAATTCACTATTAGTCAATTGCAAAATGCGGCCTTACTAGGAACTGCTTCCATCCTGCGACGATATCTGTAACACCATCAAACATCCACATCTGCCTATCTCAGGTCCTTGGGAAGGACTCGATAGGTAGACAAAATGCCAAATCCAGTCTGAACATCTGGCTGACTGTGCGATGATCCATAATAATAATAATAATGATAAAGTTGGAAGGGACCTTGGAGGTCATCTAGTCCAACCCCCTGCTCAGGCAGGAAACCCTATACCATTTCGGACAAATGGCTGTCCAGTCTCTTCTTAAAATCCTCCAGTGATGAAGCACTCACAACTTCTGGTTATTGTTCCACTGGTTAACTGTCCTCACTGTTAGGAAGTTTCTCCTTAATTCCAAGGGGAATCTTTGATTCGTTTCCATCCATTGTTTCTTGTCTTGCCTTCCAGTGTTATTTGATATTTTTATTAATACATCTATATGTCGCCCATCTCACCGATAAAGCAACTTTTAGGGACTTGTGTGTGCAAACAGGAGGCCCATAATTCCTATCCATTCTCACCACACTTGGGGCAGGGTGTTCCTGAGATTTTGCTACTTAAGAATTGTTTACTTTGATGTATGGCCCTAATTGGGTAAAATAGACGGGTTCTGCTAAGCTGATACCTTTGAATATCTTGTCGAAGTGGACAATTAATACTCCCTGGTCATGCTATTAAAAAAGAACGCCTTATGCTCAGACTGCTGCCACGGTTAACAAATGATTTTGTCAGCCGTCCCTTCTGGGCTCTTGTTGTTGATGGATTGTTAAGTTTTTGCTATCGCGTTGCATATGTAAAATCTATTAACTACGGTCTCCGCCATCCACACAAGGGCATTGCAAGACTCCAGTCCGGGAGAGAGATTGCCATATTTGTTTGCATTAGGCCTCGGCATGAAAAATTTACCGCGGCGGAGACGGGCTCCGTTTAGCGAAGAAGGCAAAAGCAGCGCAAGAGGCGGCGGTGCAATTTGCAGAGCAAACAAAAAAACTGCGATCTTTTTGAAAATCTGTATAATGCAGTTGGCCGATTTCCAGCTGCATTGCTAGAAATCTGATTAAATGGATAGCTTGGTTTTTGTTTTTTTTTAAAAAAAAATTCCGTCGCATGTAATTAACGATTTAGGGCATTTAAAAAAAAAAAACCCTACTGATTTGATTCTGTAAAGTTTGGTTTTGAGCTTAAAAGAAAGCTTTAGACCTTCATCAAAAGACTTTCTATAGCAACCTGTTGTTTGTTTTTTCTTATACATCCTCTTGCCTTCCTTCCTTCCTTCCTTCCTTCCTTCCTT